TTCCCCCCCCCCCCCCCCCCCCCCCGATCTTCTCGCGACCTGATCGCGATGAAAAGAAATCGCTGAATAAAGATTTGCATTATGTATGTATATAAGTGGCGGTGTGGGATAACATGTGGGGAAATATAGAGGCGCGAATAATTAATGAATGTGTTGGAAATAAAAGGCCGGAGATATGCGAACGATCTCAATCGTCTCGGCGGAATAAAATTTTATCGATCTCCGGCTTTATCATAACTGGCTCAGCTCGGTGAGCGATTATCGCGGAGTTCATTGCGAGAAAGCGGCAGGCGTTGAATAAATTTAGCGCGTTTACCGATAAATTCGCGCCGGCGCCTTGTCAAAACCGTAATAAGCGAGTCCGATAAATTCTTAAACGAACGCGGCCGGCGCGCAAACGAGGATCGATGACTGCGAAGCGGCGACGGCGATACCAGCGATTCAAAATTGCGCTCCGCTTTCCGTGACTAAATAATAGCCGAGAAATACAGCCCCGCCGCCTCCGCGCGCGATCGTGACCGTAGGTCTCAGGTAGCATTCCTTATCATTACGTCCCATAAACATTATCCACGGTTCCATCGAGAATGATTCCGCGACGCGGCTGAAAGGAGTGGCGAAGAGGTGGCACGACTCGGCCCAGAAGGAAAGCCACTTCAGGGTAGGGAAAGAGAGAGAAAGCACGAGAGAGAGAGAGGGAGAGAAGGACGAAGTGGAGGTGGAGGAGGTGAGAGTGGGCGATCGAAGAAGTAGTCGAGAGAGACTGCGCCGGACTGAAGCGACACGAGAGAGAGAGAGAGAAAGAGAGAAAAAGATGGGAGGTAAAGAAAATGTTGGGACGACGGGGGGGAGGGGTGGAGGAGCCGTGAAAGATCAACGGGATTTTAAATTTTGCTTGTTGAACATACATCTCGCCGGTTTGTCTCGATACTCGGGCCCACGCATGCATTATGCGCTCGTACACGCATCGCTCCGCGAGACGTTCCGGCGGGAATGCGCCAGACTATGAAAACGACGTAAAAATAAAAAGGAAACCGACGCTCGATAGTATCGATTTCGCGTTTGTATAAATACACGATTATCGCAAAATATCGGTAACCCGAAGTTGCTCCTCGTATGGCGCAAATGTTCGAAAGATATTCCAGGAACGTCCCAGAGATATTCAAATATTCCTGCGACGTTCCCGGGATGTCTACTGTACGTTTGTGTTGTATAAGTTTAAAGCGTAAAGAAATGATCAAAGCGTAGACGGTTGAGAAACGGCGGTGTAAGTTACACATTATTTATCGTATTTATAATTCTTTCGACGCACGCGAGCACACGGTTTAAATCTCTCGTATAAATCTTTGTCGCCTCGCGCTCACCTTAAATTCAAACCGCTCGTGTGATTTTTCCTGTTTGCCCATCACACCGCTCCCGTGACACACGCTTCTTCTTGCGGCACACGATGCATCATGTCGCGACACAAGCGCGGCGAACACACACCGATAACTCGGTAGCGAACGCAGGCTGATGCCCGGGATGCAATCAACCCGTTGGGCTATTTATTTATCTTCCGTTTCTCCAATGCGTTGCTAATTACCCGTGATTGCGATAAAGTATCGATACATCAAAAGCATGCCTACGTGCTCGCATACCAGCTGCATCAAGCCATTCTCTCTCTCTCTCCCTCTCTCTCTCTCTCCGCAATATTATCGCCCAGCCTGCGCACGCGGATTTTGTATTATTACCGTTGCCTTCGATAGCCACGCTAATACGCCTGTAGATAAATCTGATTTTGCCGCTCGTATGTATTGTGCCGCGCGTAGTTCCCGGGACAAAAAAGAAGGGTTCTCTCGTTTGCGCCTACCTGGGCTTGGGAGAGGACTAAATTACGAGCTTGTCGGCCGTTGTTAGCTCGCAGCTACCACCCCGAGCCGGCATTAAACCGAACAGTACATTCGATGCGTCGGGCGATATACGCTCACGATCGCGCGTCGGCTTTCGAGGGAACCGATCGAACGCGATCCTGCGGTAGACAACGCCCGAGGCTCTTCGCTGGGTTCTGTTGGGCACGCGGAGATTGTACACAGGGGTTGCGTGTTGCTGTACGCGCGGGGGTGGTTTAACACGGGGATGGGTAATGGCAGCCCCTATCAGCCCTATACACTCTGTCCTGCTCTCCACCTCTTCGGCAATGTCTCTCTCTTTTTCTCTCTCTCTCCCTTCCCCCCTCTTTCTCTCTGTCTCGTCTCCCGGCTGCCTTTGTCCTTCTTTCTCCTTACCCCTCGCTCACTCGCTCTCTCTCTCTCTCTCTCTATATATATATATATATATATAT